TCTCCAATTTCGGTTCAAGCTGATTTCCACAATAATTTATGGAGATGGTCAAGTTCCAACAACAGTGCCAGAGTAGTCCAGACATTTTATTTTTAAGATACCTCCAACTGCAAAAAAAACAAATCCCCTGAAACGTTGCCGGGTCTGTTAAAAAAAAGGGAAAAGGACAGACACCACTTTGCACTGTTTTTTTTTCTTTTGAAAGCAGCAAATTTTAGTTAGTCAGTTTCCTTCCCCCCAAATCTCCAATTAGATTCTTTTTGCAGGAGTTAGTTTAGAGAATGCTGCTAAAGGTGCATTTGATACCTGCACATTTGGTTAAAAAAGTTTTATCGCAGTAACATATAACTGGCTGGCCAAAACCAGATGACTTGTGCATAAAAAACAGAATTCAAAAATTACCACCATGCACGTTCTCTGAAATTTGTCTAGCACAATGGTTGGGGGAAGGATGTGAAAACACCCCATATACAATACCCTGGAAGGTCTACTTTATAAAAATATAAACTTTCATGATGTTAACATTAACGGGGGGATGCAAAAATATGCCAAACTGAAGATAGGTAAAGCATACCTATATATCAAGTTGAAAAACTGATATGTACAAGTCTCGATTGTGGCCTTTTAGCCCCCAAACGAGCCAGCAAACCTATGCATGGGAGATATCACTGTACTCAGGAGATGTTGCTGAACACATATTGGGGTGTTGTTTGGCAGTGATACATAACACGATTTGTTAATTCATGCTAAAGTACAATGTGTGTGTAAAAAAACCACAAAACAAATTACTACCCAAAAGTTTGCCAAAAGCTGGTGGTAGAATTAGTGCATGGAAAGTGTTAAAAACCCACCATTTGAAATACCCTAGGGTGTCTACTTTCCAAAAATATATGGTTTGGTTGGGGTAAAATACATTGGCCGGCCATACAAATGTCCCAAATAGGACATGTGTGCAGGTTATGGGTGGTGGGCAGAATAAACTGACCCTAAGGAGTGGAAACAAATGGATAGAAAAGGGATAGAAACAGACAGGCAGGAGATCTCTACTAATTAAAGAAAGCCCCCATAAAATTTAAAAGAGATAAATGAATAATAGTAGGTAACAAAAGCCTACACGTACTAGGAGATTTCTTACCGGTTAATACAAATTTAAAAAAAACTCTAAAATATAATATCGAAACCACTTGTAAATGCATGAATTACTAAAATAGTAAAATGCACAAAATTGTCTTAGAATATACAGAACTTGGAATATAAAAAACTGGTTGTAATATACATAAATACACTAGATGGCAGCCTTGCATAAAATAATCTTGGTGTAAAGAGGGACTTCTACTAAACAGCGAAAACTCTGAATATAAAAAGTGGGGAAAAAACTTCAGGATTGACTACAATGTAAGTGTAGAAATATATAAAAGTAGATTATCCAAATCAGCTTGATAGTCCAATAAAATCCAAAGCGATGAAAAAATAAATAAAATAATGTCCAGTAAAGTCTATGATAAACAAAGATCTTTTAGTGCAACAGTACCAATATCACATCCCACACAGTGTGCTTCTGCTCAATAAAATAGCAGTAGCAATAAAGTGTCAAGCTGTGAATATAATGTAACCAATGCTGGTATATATCAGTGAAATCTCGCATAGCAGCAACAAACTAACAGTTACTAATATACCACCAATACAGGGATATAGTAATACGATCTCTAGATGATCGGCAATGTTAGTAAAAAAAAAGTTCAAAGTGTTTATATTAAAAATTCCATATTTATTGAAAATTAAATTAAAATCAGAACACACACACAAAATAGAAGTGTAGTATTCCAGCAAATGAGTCCTTGTTGGGTAAGAAAATTGGGTGATAGTCAGCAATCTGAGGGAGAACTTTCTCTGGCTGGTGAAATGATCTTACTGCGTTAGGGGAGGCGAAACACCACTCGCGTGCGTTCCAAGTATATCATGTCCCACTATGTTACACCAAAGTCCGCACAGTTAAATCTATTGCGGCTGACTTTCGAATTTTACCGTTTTTCAAATTTCTTTTTTCTTTTCTTTTTCTGTATTTTCTATCTTCTACTATTCATCATTATTATTCTCACATTCCAACTATCTGTATAGATTAATAACACATTTATTCGCAGACCTTAATGAGGATACTTAAAATTAACTTTCTGGCGACTATATGGCAGTTTTTATAAGATTTATTTCTGTATAGTATTCCGGTCTATTTATTTATTATTTTTTCTCTATATATTTTTTTCTCTATTTTTTTTTCTCTTTTTTTTTTCTATTTTTTTCTGTATTTTCCCTCTATCATTTGATCTATATGATCTTTCTCTCATTATTAACTACTGATTAACCCCTTAAGGACACATGACATGTGTGACATGTCATGATTCCCTTTTATTCCAGAAGTTTGGTCTTTAAGGGGTTAAAGGGTGATACACGGAACACCAAATAGAAAATAGACACATCAGTGGTACTAATAATTTAACTATTTCTGTTCCAGTAAGAATCAGTATCCTTGTAAGGTCTTATATGATTATACAGTATTTGTTCTAATTCCAGGTTCTAGCATTTCTGAATCCTTCTAGCCATCCTAAATAAAATAAATATATTTTTATGATCAAAATATTATGGGCTAGAATGAGAATATTTTAACCCTTTGATTGATGATTTTTTTTTTTTTTTTATCACTTTACCCTGCATATTCGACTGTAAGGATGTAATATAGCAATATACAATGGATTTTAAGTAATCAAATATGGTATGCTTTAATGGATAATTGTTTTTTGTGAACTATTTTAAATGTGGACATTTATTATTATCGTGCATTCAATATCCATGTGTCTTGAAATGGACTTTATATTGTATTACATGAGCAGCTGTCAATTAATAGAGCTGCCAGAGACTACTATATAAAATGGAGCAGGAGCCTCAGAAGTTCATCCGCCTCTGAAGAAGTGACTGTGAATTTTACCACATGACAGGAGGCTTCATATTTGCATATCTTTCTTTACTGAAAACTCCAGCAGCATAGAAACATAACAACCAATCAGAAAAAAGTTATGATGCCCATAAAAGGCCCTGTCTATGACATCACTTCCTCTTTCTTTGCTGCTCCAGCCACACATCAGGTCAGAGTATTTTACCTCTCTGGCAGATTATTAATTTACACTGTTTTTTGATTGTCATACCACTATATATTACTCTATTTATTGCTAACACCTGCTACCTTGGCCCCCCTTATTCCTGTCCCTTCACTGTATCCCTCTGTTTTTTCCCCCTTTTTATTTCCACCTTACTGCCTGGTATCCTCGGGCGCAACGACTACCCGTGTCGCGCTCGCCTCGCGGACCGGCCCTTTCACTTACACGGGGGACTGTATGGGGACGGGTGGAGGGAGGCTGGGGTCAGCGTTTGTGTTGCATCTATCCCCTTTGTTTTGCACCGCGCGACCGCGATCCGCGGCGCACCTTCACATGTGGGCGGCAGCCATCTTGGATCTCGCGGCTCGCGCGATACCCGACGGCCGCCTTCCCTGCTCGCTCGGCGGATCGGGAACTCACCCAACACCGGGCTCCACAAGTGTATGCTCTCCCAAGTGAAAAATGGGAGAGTGCAAGCTGGATTTCATTTTTTTTCTCCATGTATTCTTTCGATGTATTTTGCCACAGTGCCTGCCAACAGTGTCTGCCAAACAAATACTTACATGCAGGCATTAAAGGAGATTATGTCTTTGTACCTTACTCAGGGTCTATACCCTATACAGGGTCATACCATATTACTATACCCTGCACAGGGTCATACTATATTACTATACCCTACAGGAATCACCCGATCACCGCGCCCTGCATCTGGATTAACCCCTTCAGGGGTCCCCCTCTCTGGGCACATTCATTTATTGATACAATTATTATTTTTTATCCTCATGGATATATCTCTCATGGTGCCTTACACTGGATGATTATATGTTGAGCAGGCACACAATCTATGTATTATTGTGAAGCCATACAATATCACAATCGTTATACAAAACATATACTGTACCTATAACAATATCAACTATATCACTGTACCCTACGAAGGGCATATTGTGTTACTGTACCCTACAAAGGGCATATTATATTATATTATTGTACCCTACAGTGGGTCATATTATATTACTGTACCTGACGGTGCAAATTTATGTGGGTGTCCTCTGGGTATTTTTTCATGGCACACCACCTGGGGTGACCCCCCAGATATGCATGCAAGGTCACTGACAGACCATTACCTTTGATGTGGGTGTCCTCTGGGTTACCATGGCACACCACCCGGGGTGAACCCCGATCATATGCACGGAGGCCTACACCTCAACTTTACCACTGATTACTACAGACATATATGGATGTTTAACCCCTTAAGGACCAAACTTTTGGAATAAAAGGGAATCATGACATGTCACACATGTCATGTGTCCTTAAGGGGTTAAACACTGCCTGTCAGTTTTACATTAAAGCAACAGTACCATGCCGGATGCGATTTGACGGCAGGATCACTAAGAAAACTGAGTGTATTGCGGTGTACCCTTCACAGGGATACATATATGTATATTTACTGTGCCTAGTGTACATATTGAACGTGGGTGTCCTCTGGGTAATTTTTCATGGCACACCACCTGGGATGACCCCCAGATATGCATGCAATGCTTGTAAGGTGCCAATAATTATAATATGGGTGTCCTCTGGGTTACCATGGCACACCACCTGGGATGAACCCAGCCTAATAGACATGGGTCCTGCGGCTGCAGACCTTATGGAGACAGGCCCCATGCGCCTATATAATAAGCCTGTATAGTTAAAAACCGTGCATACAGCTCTGGCGTTCATTTGTGGTGAACCCGGCTAGCCAGACCGACACCTCTACCAGTCAGTCGCACCTGCACCACGGCTCTCAGTAGCCAGATTAAACTAATAGAGGTGACCCCTCTACACTTGGCACGAGTATTCATACTCTCAGACATACTAAAGCAGGCAATTCAAACCGTTTTACCTGGGTGATCCCCAGTTCTACCAGGAGTCTAACACCCCTACGTGCTGACCCTCACACTATCTCCCAACAGGACGGGAACGAGTCATGGTGGACACTCTCAACGTTCCCAAGATTTCTAGGCAATGATAAATGCCACAGTAACGGCCTCAGTGGAGAAGGTTCTGTTATGAACTCTACCCCACACCGCTTGATGGAGACCTCAGGCCCACAAGCCTTCAAGTCAAAACGGCAAGGGAAGGGCTCCAGCCCCCCTGCCACTAAGGTCAAGGGCAAGACGCCCATCGAACAGACCAAATAGGCGGAGCACCGGGAATCCAAACCCCGTCCGCCACAATCTTCCGACAAAGAAGACTATTACCCACCACGTACTTTGGACATGGTAGATGAGCGACACGAAGACAGCTCACCGTCTGAGGAAATGGAACGGCAAGACCTTCCCCACACTTCCTCGAAGTACGTTAGGGAAACCTTAATCTGTGACGGCGGCTGAGGCAGAGATAACTGTAGCGGCACTAAACCAGAGTAGCCGAAGACGGAACGTTCCTGGACGAACACTATTGACTGCGCAACCCTCGGGGGATGGAAGGATGTGCACGCCTCAAGACCGAGTTACCCCAGGGTACACAACTCAACCCTACCACCTCCAAAGAATGGTCTCAATGCTCGATATGCCTCCTGGGCAACGTAAATGACGCACTATGCGCCGCCAGATGCAAATCTGTACTGGGCCGCATCGACAACACACTATTGGACTTAGGAATGACAAGAATTCGGCCCAAAAGCACAAGGCCTACTATTCGACGTAGTGTTCATTGCAGTACTCAAGAAACACGTGAATTTATTCACCACACTAAATTAAACCCAGACCTCGCTAAAACAAGTCTTCCACAACCCTACGGGGAAAGGTGTTTCTGGGAGGACTGGTCGGTAGCTGAACCGAGCCACCAGCCGCTTCTGGGTGACAGGTTCCAGATCGTATACACAGTCCTCATATTTCTCCCATCTACTACACAAAGGAACCCATCCGCTTCACCTACTAGTGTGTCAACCTACATAACTAACTTTTTCCAATATTATGACCGGCAACCTGTCTCTGTTTTACAGAATTGGGAGACGACTACCAAAGTCACCTGGGTTCTCCAGACAGTACAAGGCTATGTCATAGAGTTTTATCACAGCCGTGCAGGTCACCCCTTCACCTGCATTACGCACGCTGGCGGAACAGGAACGCCTCGTGGACAAGAAAATCTGCACCCTCTTCAGGAGGGTTGCAATTCAACATGCACCGGAGGGGAAGGCTTCCCCAGCAAATTTTTCCTGGTCAAGAAGAAGCCAGGAGACTACATCAATGGAACTCCTACATGGTATACAAATGCTGCAAGATGGAGGAAATTCGTCTTCTACAAGACTTCCTAGGCGATAACGACTGGTTTACACATCTGGACCTCAAGGATGCACGCTTGTCAGTACCCGTTGCCCTGGACTGACGAAGTTTTCCTCTGATTCCAATGGTGAGGACAAACACGGCAGTTTACGACTCCGTGGTGCTCGCGAACCTACTGTAACCAGTGAGGGCACACATCCGTAAATTTGGGCGTGCGATGCCTCGTATACCTGGAAGACTTGCTGATTCTTTACGAATCCAGGCTACGTTTGCAGACAAATTTGTCGTTCACTTTCGGGACTCCATGGGTTTTTTGTTGTACACAGACAAAGATCGCTTCTCCATCTGAATCGGGCCAGTTCCTCGGTTTCGACATCGGCTTGGAGAACTACGTTCCGCGTCCGTCTACGGCAAAGAGCGCCTCTATAAGGATAGCTGTCGGATTGTGGGATTCCTCTCCTCCTCCATACAAGCGTTATTCCCTGGCCCACTACGACTGATGGTGAGATACGTACGCACCGGTCACTCATACGACCACTGGATCCCACTGTCAGCGGAAGTGAGGATGGAATTTCGATGGTGATTACTTCACATACAAACTTGGATTGGCAAAACGATCTTTGACTCTTCCTTCGGATACGGGGCGATGGATGAACCCCTGCAAACGCGACCCAGCCGTTCTCCACAATAGCAAGGGTGCTTCGATACACACACACACCCACAAGATATCGCTCCTGCTCATGACACCCCTCGGGCAGGGCCAACCGTGATTTCCCGGATCGCCTGGAGATGTCTCGCGAAGACCCTCTACTACTCCCTACCTTCCCTCTACCTCTGACGGGATTTCGAGGGGAAGCCCACTCCCTTGTCATGGAAGCACAACTGGCACTAGTTGCCTGGACGGTTTCAGGGGCTCCTGGTCCTATTGCATTGCGACCTATTGCATCAACTAAGACCTCCTATGGGACTCATAGGCTCCCGGCACCAGGAAAGGCTATATTTCTGCTTGGTCGGCCTGGAGTGATTGGTGTGTGGAAAGGGATTCCGATCCCTTTACCGCACCTGTCCCACTGATCCTCAACTATCTGTCACACCTGGGCTCGTTGGGACGGTCATTTCGATCCCTCAACGTGATCAGATCTGCCATATCGGCGGCGCACGTTCCGGTACAGGGCAGACCAGTGGGTCAAGATACACTGGTTTGTCGACTACTGCGGGGTGCCGAATTGTCGAGATCCCTGCACCCAAATATTCACGCCTCTGGCAGGTGGATGTGGTGCTGAGATTCCTTAGGGAATGGCCGGACAATCCTTGTTTGTCACTGAAGCAACTTTCAGCCTCTGAACTAGCCCAAACTAGCCCTCTTATTATGCCTCACCTCATTTAGACGGTGGCGGACGTTAGGGCTTACGATATGGATGGTTTCTCTCTCACACCAGACGGGGTTACCTTTACCATGTCGAGACGAACTAAGTCTGATTCGTCTTCAGTGTCATACCCATGCTTTGTGTCAGACGCCACACTATGCGTGGTCAGAACGCTAATGGGGTACACCAATATCTCTACCCACTTCGAACTCATTCGACGGATCACCTTCTGACTTCTTACGTGAATCCTCATGGACCGGTGTATACTGCAACACTGGCCAGATGGGTCCGCTGGTTTTTGTCTTTAGCGTCGAACCTTGTTTCGGAGCCCACTCGGTCAGGGGAGCGGCGGCCTCACAAACCTTTTCGGCCGTCGCTTCCCTAGCCGACATTATACGCTGCGCGGACTGAGCGCGAGAGAGTACGTTTAGAACGTTCTATTTTCGGCAAACATCTCATGCTTCCTTCACATAGGTCAATTCAAAGCTTTACAAATGCAAATATGAAGCCTCCTGTCATGTGGTAAAATTGAAGATTATATTAGCTTTAGTGTACTAATAATCTTAATTTTAGTAATGACAGGAGGCGAATATTTCCCACCCTATAGGATCCCTCCCATGTTTCTCGTGTTGAACAGAATATGTCCTTTATGTTCAGGAAGGTAAGTACATATGGTTTGTTTGTTTGCTACTTAGACCTGTATCTTGTGGGTCTTGTATTGGCTGAATATTAGACATGAACCTTGCATTATGTTGTGTTTATAGATCCTTAAATATCATTGCGTTAGAATAAATATATATTGATATGTTTCACATTCTAATGTTCGTTGGTATATCAGATGCTTAATGCTTATTGTACGTGGACAAGTTATCACGCCAGATACCTTTCACCTTTTTCTTTTTCTTGCAGCGTGAACGTCTTCTCATCGAGACAAAGATTCACCTTCCATACCTCTGCATCGCGGAACTAATGAAGTTGGATATTCTAATATGTTGTTGAACTGTTGACGTAATATGATTGTCTCTTGTTATTTATTGTTTCGCTTCAAAGAAAGAGGAAGTGATGTCATAGACAGGGCCTTTTATGGGCATCATAACTTTTTTCTGATTGGTTGTTATGTTTCTATGCTGCTGGAGTTTTCAGTAAAGAAAGATATGCAAATATTCGCCTCCTGTCATTATTAAAATTAAGATTATTAGTACACTAAAGCTAATATAATCTTCAATTATCACGAAACGCGTAAGGCATTTTTGGCAATTGCCGTACATCGATCCAGCTACCGAGCAACCGTGGAAAGCACGCGAGAGGTGTTTCACCTCCCCTAACGCAGTAAGATCATTTCACCAGCCAGAGAAAGTTCTCCCTCAGATTGCTGACTATCACCCAATTTTCTTACCCAACAAGGACTCATTTGCTGGAATACTACACTTCTATTTTGTAAGTGTCTTCTGATTTTAATTTTATTTTCAATAAATATGGAATTTTTAATATAAACACTTTGAACTTTTTTTACTAACATTGCCGATCATCTAGAGATCGTATTACTATATCCCTGTATTGGTGGTATATTAGTAACTGTTAGTTTGTTGCTGCAGTCCGAGATTTCACTGATATATACCAGCATTGGTTACATTATATTCACAGCTTGACACTTTATTGCTACTGCTATTTTATTGAGCAGAAGCACACTGTGTGGGATGTGATATTGGTACTGTTGCACTAAAAGATCTTTGTTTATCATAGACTTTACTGGACATTATTTTATTTATTTTTTCATCGCTTTGGATTTTATTGGACTATCAAGCTGATTTGGATAATCTACTTTTATATATTTCTACATTTTCATTGTAGTCAATCCTGAAGTTTTTTTCCCACTCTTTATATTCAGAGTTTTCGCTGTTTAGTAGAAGACCCTCTTTACACCAAGATTATTTTATGCAAGGCTGCCATCTAGTGTAGTTATGTATATTACAACCAGTTTTTTATATTCCAAGTTCTGTATATTCTAAGACAATTTTGTGCATTTTACTATTTTAGTAATTTATGCATTTACAAGTGGTTTCAATATTATATTTTAGAGTTTTTTAATTTGTATTATCCAGTAAGAGATCTCCTAGTACATGTAGGCTTTTGTTACCTACTATTATTCATGTGTGCAGGTTGACTACATGTCAAAATTCCTAGTTGAAAAATGAATATGCGCACCTGCCAAATGTGGCCTTTTAGCCCCCAAACAACCCAACAAGCCTATGTATGGGTGGTATCACTGTACTCAGGAGATGTTGCTGAACACATATTGGGGTGTTGTTTGGCAGTGACACATAACACAATCTGTTAATTCATGCCTAAAGTACAATGTGTGTGAAAAAAAACACAAAAAAATGAATACCTAAAAGTTTGACAAAGTCTGGTGGTAAAATTAGTGCATGGAAAGTGTTAAAAAAACACCATTTGGAATACCCTAGGGTGTCTACTTTCCAAACATATATGGTTTGGAGGGGGTAAAATACATTGGTCAGCCTTACAAATGTCCCAAAAAGGACATGTGCGCAGGTTGACTACATGTCAAAATTCCAAGTTGAAAAATGGATATGCGCCCCTGCCAAATGTGGCCTTTTAGCCCCCAAACAACCCAACAAGCCTATGCATGGGTGGTATCACTGTACTCGGGAGATGTTGCTGAACATATATTAGTGTGTTTTTTGGCAGCAACACATAACAGGATCGGTAAGTTTATACCTGAATTGCAATGTATGTGAAAAAAAAAAAAAACTACCTATGCGAAGTTTGGCAAAGACTGGTGGTAAAATGGCTGCATAGAAAGTGTCAAAATATCCTTAGATGAATACCCTGGGTTGTCTACTTTAAAAAAAAAAAATACATACATGTGGGGTGTTTTCCAGAGATTTATGACAGATAATAGTGTTACAATGTCACTATTGATACATTTTAAAAATTTATGTTTTGAAACCGCAATATCCTACTTGTACTTATAGCCCTATAACTTGCAAAAAAAAAAAAAGCATTTAAACACTGGCTATTTTTAAACTCAGGACAAAATTTCGAATCTATTTTTCAGTTTTTTTCATTAGCTTTTGTAGATGAGTAAAAGATTTTTCAAGTAAAAGTAAAAAAAAAATGTATTTTTTTCAATTTTGCATCATATTTTTTTTATTTATTTTTTTAAATTAAATTACATGAGATTATATAAATAATGGTGTGTAAAGAAATCCCTTTTTATCCTGAAAAAACAATATATAATTTGTATGGGAACAGTAAATGAGAGAGCAGAAAATACAGCTAAACACAAACACCACAAAAGTGTAAAAAGATTCCTGGTCGCAAATGTACAACATCGCAAACACAGTTCAGTCCTTAAGGGGTTAAAAAAAACAAGACTGAAATAGAAAATCCACAGTAGGCAATAGTTACTTACCCAGTACACTTGTATTTGCTAGGATTGGGCAGTGCTACATTTCAGGGCAAAACAGACTTTAGATCATTTGTATATATTAAATCTACCAATGCTGTGTATAAATTGGGGTTATATAATACTACCAACCTGCATACAGATTATATGACTCACATACATTGTGGATGTTTCTGACAGCACCTTATACGTAAAGAGATATCAGTTACATATACTGAGTCTGTTCAAACAGTAATCATACATAGCCTACATCTGCTATATGCAGTGACACTATGCCTGCACACATATTAAGATTATATAAGTGAGATAAATTGAGGCTGTGTTTTAACAAAACTTCATGCACATATTATACCCACACATAGAACCAGTATTAGAGTGGACTCATAGAGGATGTGTCTTATACAATTCACATATATTGTGTTTCCACTAATGCATCAATCATATAGTGAACAGATACAGTGAAGCAATGTCTCCACACCACCTTACCTATAGAGCATGCAGAGGGCATATACTGTGTTTTCACAGCAACTCAGAGCATATAATCATATGGATGGATGATGTGTGTGTGAGTGCTGGATGATGTGTGTGTGTGTGCTGGATGATGTGTGTGTGAGTGCTGGATGATGGGTGTGTGAGTGCTGGATGATGAGTGTGTGTGCTGGATGATGTGTGTGTGTGTGCTGGATGATGTGTGTGTGACTCACACACCCATCATCCAGCACTCACACACACATCATCCAGCACTCACACACACACACATCATCCAGCACTCACACACCCATCATCCAGCACACACACATCATTCAGCACTCACACACCCATCATCCAGCACTCACACACACATCATCCAGCACTCACACACACACACATCATCCAGCACTCACACACCCATCATCCAGCACACACACACCCATCATCCAGCACTCACACACCCATCATCCAGCACTCACACACCCATCATCCAGCACTCACACACACATCATCCAGCACTCACACACACATCATCCAGCACTCACACACACATCATTCAGCACTCACACACACACCATTCAGCACTCACACACCCATCATCCAGCACACACACACACATCATCCAGCACTCACACACCCATCATCCAGCACACACACACACATCATCCAACACTCACACATCATCCAGCACTCACACACACATCATCCAGCACACCCATCATCCAGAACTCACAAACCCATCATCCAGAACTCACACACACACACACACCCATCATCCAGCACTCACACACCCATCATCCAGCACACACACACCCATCATCCAGCACTCACACACCCATCATCCAGCACACACACACCCATCATCCAGCACTCACACACCCATCATCCAGCACACACACACCCATCATCCAGCACACACACACCCATCATCCAGCACACACACACCCATCATCCAGCACACACACACCCATCATCCAGCACACACACACCCATCATCCAGCACTCACACACCCATCATCCAGCACTCACACACCCGTCATCCAGCACACACACACCCGTCATCCAGCACACACACCCATCATTCCAGCACTCCACACACACCCACATCATCCAGCACACTCACACACACACCCATCATCCCAGCACACACACACACACACACATCATCCAACCCCTCACACACCCATCATCCAGCACTCACACACACACACACATCATCCAGCACTCCACACACACATCATTCAGCACTCACACACCCATCATCCAGCACTCACACACACACACATCATCCAGCACACACACACACTCACACACCCATCATCCAGCACTCACACACCCATCATCCAGCACTCACACACACACCATCCAGCACACACACACACATCATTCAGCACTCACACACCCATCATCCAGCACACACACACACCCATCATCCAGCACACACACATCATCCAGCACTCAAACACACCCATCATCCAGCACTCACACACACATCATCCAGCACACACGTCATCCAGCGCGCGCGCACACACACATCATCCAGCACACGCTGCATTCATTATACACACTCTTCACTCACTACAAACACACTACATTCACTATACACCCTCTGTATTCACTATACACACTCTGCATTCATTATACACATTCTGCACTCACTACACACTACATTCACTATACACACTCTGCATTCACTACAAACACACTACACAAACTGCATTCATTGTACACACTCTGCACTCACTACAAACACACTAAATTCATTATACACAATTTGCACTTACTACAAACACACTACATTCATTATACACTCTGCACTCACTACAAACACACTACATTCACTATACACACTGCACTCACTACAAACACACTACATTTATTATACACACTGCACTCACTACAAATACACTACATTTGTTATACACACTGCACTCACTACAAATACACTACATTCATTATACACACTCTGTACTCACTAAAAACACACTGCATTCATTATACACACTCTGCACTCACTACAAATACACTACAATTATTATTCACACTGCACTCACTACAAACACACTCAGCTGCACAAATGTATAAAGTTCACAAAAAGCCAGCACTCAAGGACATGTCCTGATGAAAGTCCACAACGATGGACTGAAACGTTGAACTCTTGACCTACTGGATTAAAAGGTTTTTCATTTTTCTGCAACATTATAGTCCTTGAGTGCTGGCTTTTTGTGAACTTTATATATATATGGAAGGCGTGGCCTGAAGTTGTGGGAAGGGCTGGGTTACCCTTCTTAAGGGACTCCAGACCCTTCCCTCACTACCTGTTAGGTGCGACGGATTCTGTTTTCGTCACTTCCGGTTTTCGGACAGCAATTTCCGGCGGGCTAGCTCGTGCGCGTCAGGTCGGGCAGTTCTCAGAAGCATCCAGCACTACATCCGGATACCACGGGCGGGAGCACGCTAGGTCAGGCAGTCGGCAAATTTTTCACACGGCAAATCGTAAGTTGAAACGGCCGTCGCAAATTTGGCGGCGCGCCCGTTTTACGTCATCACTAAGCATCAATACTACACGCTCACAATTTCTATTGTAATACTATGTTATACAACAACCTACTCACAAACTTGGTTACATTATAAGCACTCTTATGCTTATTTCTTACGTTATTATTATTCCTGTGTCCATTCATTACAACGCTGTTACCTTAAAGTACACACTAGACACCAGAGCAACCTCTGGTGTCTAAAAAATGGTGATATTGAATTCTCATACCTGTTCTGTCATTGATGCTATTTTAAAATTGCAGTTATTTAAAGCAAGTTGGCATATGGGGTTCCAATCAGTCGTGTGTACAGATACGTTTTATACGGGGCACGTATTTTACAATTAGGCTGCTAACCTAACAATGACTACGGATCTGGGTATTAGGGAATATATTTATATGCATGATTAGCACTTAAGATGTCGTGTAAACTCTTTCAGTATTTTCTGCATTCCCACGGTGGGCAGCTATTCTACAACTTGCTCAGGACTTAGGTCCCTTCACTCGAGTTTCTACTTAACAGTCACCCTACGCCAGGGTCCTCATATGTGTTTTCTGTATTTTAGGTATAGGCATCCTTGCTCTTGTTAATTTGGTGCCCAGCCCTCTGCTAGGGCAATATTGCCGGTAGGTATCTGAATAACAGGGGACTTAGGGGTTATATTTCTGTGCCCGTACAAATATATATTACTTTCATAGGTGACTACAGATCGTCTGTTCCTCCTTTTCCTCATTATAGCTGTCAAACCGCTCATCAGGTACGTCATATCTTTTTTCGACTTTTCCCCATACCTTCCCTTTCGGCTTAGTACAGATTTACTGGCTTACAATAAATAGGACCCACTAGCTACGTTTTCTGGCCTCTTATGCCTTCGTTAGTGGTCCCGCGAGGCCAACACCCATCCTCATTTCGGAGGTACGGCATTCCCTCGGGCCATTTCATAGCTAGCCGCCTCGCTTAGTTGCATAGAGAGGGCCTCACTTGTCACTCCCATTCTGTCTTATGCCTTTACAAGTCACAGAGAGGCCACCACCCTGCCATAATGCCAATGGCCACGTTTTCCACACGCGCCAAATCATAGATAGTGCCTCTCAAGGCCGCTTGGCTACTAGCAGGGCCTCACCTGTCACGTTACTTAATAATTCTTCGCCACTTGGCATTAGTTATCATAAGCCAGTTGGATAGCACCCCAGGTAACATGTTATTTTATGTTGTAGCATGTCTCAAGCTCCGGAAGGAAGGGAAGTCGAGTCCTTACCCAGTACACCAGCTAGATCAGTCACGCCGTCTCAGGGTGACGACATCGCAAGCCCTGCCTCACTCAGGGCATGGACTATTCCCAGGATCACGGCCGAATTAAGGAAGAGAAATATTCCTTTCCCTGCTACAGCTAGGAAAGCAGAACTGTACAGATTGCTGAACACACAGACTGATAACGCGGGGGCGGGTGAAGGGTCCAGTGGCACCCAGTCTTCAGAGCTGAATACGATTCTGTCCTCAGTTCTGACCTCTTTGGGGCGTATTACTGACAAGCTAGACAAAATGGATGCAGATAGCCAGCAAAAGTCACTGGCTGCTGCAGTGGATCCGGCCGCTTCGGTCCATTTGGACCCCCTACCGGGTAATTTACAACATAGGTTAAAAGACCCACATATTATTAACCCCGCACACATGGTGCCTGCTAAAACAAAAAAGGACATCTTGGAGGGGAAAGATATCAATTTGGTTTCACTTTTGATAGCCTCACAAGATGTCCTAGAGAATAAGACCTACGCATACGGTGATGTATCAGTGGTATTGAAGTCCAGAGACCCCAGGTTAAATCAGAAACTATCAATACCAGAATTTGTACTGGCTTTCGGTATATACAGAGATGTAATATGCTCGGTATCCCCGGATAGGAGGGAGGAATTGGACCTGTATCTCCACAAGCTGGTGGATTTGGGGCATAAGTACGGTGGTACGTCTTTTTACGACTACCACCGTGCCTTTTCCGCGAAGGCGTCGGCAGCCCTTTCACAGTTCAATTACCAAACGGATTGGGGCGTCCTGGATACTGAGCTTTTTTGCCGACACTTCGCGGGCCTAAAAACCCCAGCTTGTGCCATTTGCTCGTCCAATTCTCACACGGCTAATCTGTGCCCTAATTCTCCAGAGGTAAACGCTGTTTTTCCACCTCCTAATGTAGTGCCCACAGGGAGACCTGGCAAGGTGCTTAAGGATAAACTAGGCCGTGACATAGTGTTTTTGGGTAAATCGCAGGTCTGTAACAATTTAAACTCAGGTTCCTGCGGTTACAGTGCCTGCAGACTTCTCCATGTTTGCTCACTATGTTTCAGAGCTCACTCCAAGGCAATGTGCCCAAATAAACTATACCCTAAGCAGTACTTATCGTCTCTTCATGTCTCCCTACTGCAACAACTTTTGCGGGATCACCCTTCCCAACATCTCGTTGATTTTTTGGTTACAGGGTTTAAGATGGGGTTTCACACGGGTATTATTCACATGCCCACGGGGACCCTAGAATGTAATAATTTGCAGACAGCCTTGGCAGCACCCAACACTATCGACTTACTCCTACAGAAGGAAATTGACCAAGGTTTCTTATTAGGCCCTTTCAACCCCCGCCTTTCGCAGTTTGGAGGACAAACCCCATAGGACTGGTCACCAATAAATCCTCCAATAAACAAAGATTAATTCTCGATCTGTCCGCCCCCCATGCATCTCATACCCCAAGTCTAAATTCA